CCCAGCCTGGGCAACTTAACCACTTAGGCTCTGTCTCAGAATAGGAAATTTAAAAAGGGCTGGGTATGTAGCACTGTACAAAGGCCCTGGGTTCAATCTCCAGCCCCCCTAACACACATCGAAAGATAAATATGAGACTACTTTCTCCTGACTTCTTTTAAGTAAATTATCTCACTGAATCTTATAACTCTAGAATAGTGTGACTCACAACCACTAGGATGACTGGCCTAAGCAGGCACTTAAACAACTGAGCCAATGGGCAGGCCCCTAGATGACTAGCTTAGTAAAGACAAACAAACAAGAAATGTACAGAAATTGAAACTATCATGTATTATTGATAGTAATATAAAATTCCACAGCAACCACTATGGAACAGAGTCTTGCAGTTCTTTAAAAGTTAAAAACAGAATAGAACATGATTCAACAAAAGAATGTAAAAATAGGTCCTTGATTCCAGGAGTCCCCTCCAGGTTTTTGTCTAGGTCCAAGAAGTCAATATTTGGAATCCCAAAAGATACATTATTTGAATCCCACCAAATTGATTCCAATGTACCACTCCCAGTGCAACCCATGGCAGAAATAAAGACACTAAGGGCTGGGGAGATGGCTCAACAGAATAAGTGCTTCCCTGGCAAGCGCAAGGGCCTAAGTTCAATCCCTGGTCCCACCAAAAAAAATAAATAAAAATAAAAAATTTTTTAAAATAAATGAAGACACTAAAACATGTTTATAATTATTGGGGAGCCAAGGGAACCAAGTCCAGCCATGAAGATGGCTTTTCAGAACCAAGAAAGCCACCCAGGGCCACACCTGGGTTTTATTCAGCTGAGAGGGGGGAGCAGTGTGAGGAAGAGAATTGTGGGAAGTGGGTGAGTACTGTGAGCTGGGCTAGGAAGGTGGCCTGCATTTACCTCTGACATATGCAGACAGGACAGAGAACGGAATCTGCATTATGCTGTTGAAATAGCATCTAATGTTTCCGAGAGTCTGGGGCTTTGGCTCTGATGTGTGATCTTTCAAGCCCCAGGAAGTCATAGCCTCTATTTCCAGGCTCTTCCTCCTGTCTCCACCTCACTCATATTAAAGAGCAGCAGGTGTGGGTTATCAGGGAAACACTCGTGCCATCTTCAAAAATTACCATCAGCACTTTGGCTAGACCAATATACATTGCTTAAGGCTAATTGAAAGGATAAAGAAAAATTCTAGGAGCCCAGGAGATAGCTCAGTAGAGTAAGTGCTTCCCTGGCAAGTGCTTCCCTGAGTTCAATCCCTGGTTCTGTCTAGAGAGAGAGAGA